CCAAACATGGAATGAGTCTTGTTTGTGGTGATGTCAATGGAATTGGTGTCACCCAGGGCAGTAACAGTGTCACCCTCCCTGCTTCCTTCTACTCCACCACATCCCCAAGGATTTCCTTCAAGACCAGACTAAACAGAAAAGAAGCCTTAGGAATACTTTTTTTTACGAATGTTTCATTCTAATAAATCATCCCCATTTATCACTGAGTGTAAAGCGAATAGCAGTAACACAAACAACAAGCAAAACTAAAGTTACATCTTTAAGTTACAATAGCAGATAAAGACAAAACATGTGATTCCAAGCTCAGTTGTAATTCAAACTTATTGCTGCTGAGTTGGCGCCAACTCATAGCTGATCCTCCAGGAGCTCTCAGAATATGTAAATTATACAGTAGGATGTTTTCCCATCTCTCTCTCACAGAGCATCTAGTGGATTCAAACCATCCACATTCGAGTTGTCAGTGACACTCCCTAACCACGAGGCCACCAAAGCTCTCTTGATTGTAATTGTTTTTATGTGCTGTCAAGTTATCTGTAACTAGCAACCCTATGTCCAACAAATCTGATCTCTTCCCTCTCCTGAGCCAGTCTCACTGACTCTGACACATCTACCTCCATTGCTCCAGTTACTATATCAATCCCCCTTATCCAGGGTCTTCCTCTCAGGAACTGTCCCTCCAGCCTTCTAAGCATGATGTCCTTCTCCAAGGACCAATCACTTCTGGCCAAGTGCCCAATGTATGTGAGATGAAGTTTCAAAATCCTAGCCTCCAAGGAGAAATTTGTTTCACCTTCTCCAGGACAGACCTATTTGTTTTCTTGGTGGTTTATGATATGTTCAAGACTCTTCTCCAACACCACAACTCAAAGGCATCAACTCTTCCTCTGTTATCCTTATTCTTTGTCCAGCTCTCTGATGCATAGCAAGTAATTGTGAAGACCATGGCCTAGATCAGGTGCACCTTAGTCTCTAGACTGATATCATTGCCTCTCAGTATTCTGGAAAGGTCCCTGACAGCAGATTTTCCCAGTGCAATTTGTCTGTTGATTTCCTGACTGCCTGTGAAAATAAAATTCTAGACAAGCCATAAGAGAGAAAGAGCTTCAAAGGGAATAAAGTGCTCTTCATAATGAGTTGGTAGTAATTAGGTATGCAAAAGTCAGTATGATAGGCATAGAGGAGACAATATTAACTTCCCAAGGAGGGAGAGTCTCTACCAACAGCACAAATGCCCTACCACCATACTCCACACTATGCTCACAATTCTATCATGCACTGTTCTTCTTAGGAATGTTACTTCTCTGCTGAGTTTGATAATCCATTGCAATGGCCACATAGAACTCACAGACAATATTCACATTGATGGAGTTTATCAAGGAAGGAACAGATTGCCACTAGAGTCAGGAACATTCAGTACTTAATCCTTCAATCAGAATTCCCTCTACTTAGCTGTGTTTGTAGGCCAGCTCTCTCACCCTTGGTCTTGTGGTCCTGGCCTCAGTGTCCTGCTCAGGCAAATGTCACAAGCTCCATTAGCTCTACCAATTAGGTGTCACCCCCTACACTGTCAGTAAGCGCCAGTCTGATGGCACGTGGCTTTAACACCGTAGATCAGCAGCTAGTTCCCGCCAGCAAAGGCCTCCAGGTGCTCACTAAGCCAGCAAGTATTCTTTCTCATTTTCTTGCTCATTCCAGGATCCAGGATTCCACAGCACCATCTGACACTATTCTATGGTTCTTCACCACCTCTGCTACCACTATCACTGCTATCTCCACTATTGTCACCGGGATGCTGTGCTACCCATCTTGTGCTGTCTCTGTATCTGATTTGAGCCAGAATCTTATGTGCAGAGGACTATCTGGATCTCTTTCTTGATTGTAGCAGTATTTCTTGTTTTCTGCCTCTGGACCAGCTCTGTTTAAGTTTGGGAAGATGGTAAAACAGCCCAGTCCACATATCTTACTTACATGATCCCATTCAAAAGTACAATTTACTTTCTTTACATTTCTAGCAAGCTTTCTAACAGCCTTTGTGGACCACAGATAAACACCTCACACTGGCAGTCCTAATTAGCTATCAGGTGAGAGTAACTAAGACAATGGACTAGAAAAGCCACATCAAGTGATCCCATGCAACAGGATGGTAACGCCAACTCTGATCAGAGTGTATTGTTGTTGTTAGTGCCATTGAGCCACCTACAACCCATAGTAGTCGGGTGTTTGAGCCATGCTTATCATCTCTGATACACTTGAGCCCATTGTTACAGTCACCGTGTCCGTTGTCCTATTGTTGAAGGTTTTCCTCTTACACTGACCCTCCACTGTTTCCAACATAATGTCTTCCTGACAACATGCCCAAATTATATGAGATAAAGTGTTACTTTATGCAGAACAGATTATCTAGGAGACTGGACTCTATGAGGAGAAATGTGGGGTCAAGACTGGTGGACGATTTATCAACAATCTGCGTTATGCGGATGACACAACCCTGCTGGCTGAAACTGAGGAGGACCTGAAGCACCTGCTGCAGAGTGTCAAGGACTGCAGCCTACAATATGGATTGAGGCTCAATGTCAAGAAGACAAAGATTCTCACCACTGGACCAATCGGCAGCATCAGCATGGATGGTGAAGAGATTGAGATTGTACACAGCTTTAGTTTGCTTGGCTCCATAGTCAACAGTCTTGGCACCAGCAGCCAGGAAATTAAAAGGCGCATTGCCATGGGAAAGTCTGCTGTTAGGGACCTCTCCAAAGTACTGAAGAGAAATGGTGTTTCTCTGGAGACTAAGTGTGTCTGATACAGACCATGGTCTTTGCAATCACTTGTTATGCATCAGAGAGTTGGACAATGACCAAGGAGGATAGAAGGAGAATTGATGCCTTTGAGCTGTGGTGCTGGAGAAGAGCACTGAGAGTACCATGGACTGCTAGGAAAACAAACAGATTCGTCCTGGAAAGGGTTAAACCGGCTGGCTCCTTGGAGGCAAGGATTCTGAGGCTCCGTCTAACATACTTTGGACATGTTCTAAGGAGAGACCAGTCCTTGGAGAAGGACATCATGGTTGGCAGGGTGGAGGGACAGAGCAGGAAGGGACGGCCCTCTGTCAGGTGGATTGATGCAGTGAATGGCGTAATAGGGATGGGTGTGTCGGAGACAGTGAGATTGGCACAGGACAGAGCAGAGGACTTGAAGGCACATAGCAAAAATAACAACAAAGTGTCACTACCCTTGTCTCTAAGGAGCAGCCTATTTACACTTCCTCGAAGACAGGCCTTCACCACCAACAAAATAGAAAGACATATTTTTCTATTTCTTCTGTTATCATTATTGATCCATTGCCCAACTTTCAGATCCATAATAAGTGAAAAGGCCATGGCTTGGATCAGATACACTTTAGTCTTTAAACTGACATCCTTGATCTTTAAGCTCTTTGGAGAAGTGCCTAACAGCAAATTGTCCCAATGCAATGCTTCTTTTGATATCTTGGTGGCAGTTATCCTGGATATCAATTGTGGATCCAAGAAGGATGAAATAATTGACAATTTAAGTCTTTTATCCATCTATCACAATGCGACCTACTGTCTATTGGTAAGAATTTTTGTCTTCCCTTGTGATATAATCTTCACTGAAGGCTGTAATCTTTGATCTTCTGCAGCAAGTTCTTCAAGTCTCCTTTACTTTTGCAAACATGATTGTGTCATCTGCATAATGCAAGTTGTTGATGAGTCTACTTTCAATCTTAATGGCACATTGTTCTTCATTAAATCCAGCTTCTGGAATTATTTATTCTGCAGAGCAATTGAAGAAGTATGGAGAAAAGATACAACCTTGACACAACATTGATCAAAGTCTATTGAAGGTTGAGAAAGTAAATGGTCATCGAGCTTTAGCCTTGTAAACATATGTAAACTAGGTATATGTAAACTGGGCTTACTTTAAAAATGTTTTGTGTTTTCCCCCCCTGTTATCTCCATTAATTATCCAACTTTCACATACATGTTGTTATTGTTGGTTGCTATGTGCTGTCAAGGCCCCAGCTACTCATACTGACCCTATGCACAATAGCACTGAACCCTGTTGGATTCTGAGCCAATCTCACTGTCTCTGACACACTGTCCCTATTTCCCTAGTCATTGTGTCAACCCATTTCATCCAGGTTCTTCCTCTCCTGTGTTGTCCTTCCACCTTCCCAAGTATGATGTCCTCCTCCAAGGATTCGTCCCTCTTGGCCAAATGCTCAAAATACGTGAGATGGAGCTTCAAGATCATTGCCTCCAGAGAGCGCCTTGGTTTCACCCTCACCAAGATAGATCTGTTTGTTCTCTTTGCAGTCCGTGGTACCATAGGAAGTAATTTAAAAGACCTTGGCTTGCATCAAGTATACACCTTCGTCATCCTTAAACTGACATCTTTGTTTTTCAGCACTTTAGAGAGGTCCTTGACTGTAGATTTGCCCCAACACATTTCCCTCGATTTTTGTTTTTGAAAGTCTCACACTGATTACTTTTTCTGAGGAGCATCTGCAGGAAGTCCTTTTTCCTTATCCTTGTGTTGACCCGTGACATAGTGAAGGTTCAAGTTCACGAGTGGACACTATTCTTCTTGAGGGAACTGCCTGGGCTCTTCAATAAGATAAAAAGCTCAGTGTTTGGAGGTTTGAAACTACTTACTGGAAGCTTGGAAGAAAAGCCTATTTGGCAATCTACTTCAAAAAGGTAGCCATTGAGAATCTTCTAAAGGACCCTTCTACTTTGATAAGCATGAGGTTTCCAAGCAGCAAAACTGATTTCCATGACAACTGGGTGGAGTTTTTGTTTGGTTTGTTGTGTAGTTTGTTTACCCCCCCCCCCCCATTTCCTTCTTCCACTGCATATGCACCAGGCTGATCATTCACTTATACAGTGCTCAAGCACCCTAAAGTCAATTGAAGTTAATTCAGATTCCAGTAAACCCAAGTCTGTCCCACTGGGACCACTCACCTCTTCTCTGTTCCCCAGGTGTTAATATTTATTTAGAAGATATTTACATTTGTAGCTGGGCCAGCTTGTCGCAGCCCCACCCTAGCAGCGCAGGACTGTGGACTGGAAGTCACAGTGTCCAGTCGCAGCGTCCAGAGCCTGCCTGCTCTTCCCCTCCCGCAGAGAACCCTACTTCTCAAGTCTTGGGCCCCAACCAGGCCAAAGCAACTGGGAAAGCCTCCGCCCTGGTCCTGCCCCACACTTGTTTGAGCAACAGTCTGCTTTGCCCCACCCAGTTAGTGACTGAAACTCAGCCCCGCCCACGGCCAGAGTTAACTCTGGCTCAGCGGCTTACCAAGGCTTGTTTCAGCCCACTTGTTGCTGCAGATGCCTCCGAGTGCTGGACTGCGTCCCTGTTGCCACACGCAATGAGCCCCAAGTGGCAGAGCGCCCCTGCAGTGCTGCACCTCTGTGGGGGGCTGCTCCTGCTGCTGCTCCTGTTGAACACGCCGCCCGTGCGCAGTGAGTTGGGGACTCTGAACCAGCCTCCTTGGCTCACCCTTAGACAGGGAGGGACGGGTTGGTTAAGTCTCCCTGGCCGGTTCTGGGCACTTGGGGATATGAAGTTTTTGGGCATCAGCTATAGTTGCTTTCTTAGGAGAGCCTGAGTGGTGCCGTGATGAAAGCATTCCGCTGCTAACCAAAAGCTTGACGGTTTAAACCTATACCATCAGTCCCTTCATTTAGAACCCACTCACCAAGGGGAGCTTTGGCTGCTTAGTGGCAAGAAGCTACACTGTAACCCCCAAAGTTCATGGTTTGAATCCACCGGCTGGATCCGACCAGCTACTCTGGTGCTGGAGTTTGGGGTTTTGTTTTTTTGTTTGTTTGTTTGTTTGTTTGTTTTTTAAATTATTCCCCACAATCCTCTACCTTTAAGGCTCAGGGTTTCTGATAGCTTGGTCCCTGGGGTCCAGGGAGCGGATCTCCTGGAGACTGGACTGGACCAGGTCTGCAAACATAGTTTTAGGAGAGACACTTGACGGATTGGGGAAGCACATGTGAGAGTCGAAAGGGAGGGTGCCAAAAGAATTCTTCTCAAATCCCAAAGGAGCTCTCCTTTTTAACATTGAGGGGCCAAATAGTTGATTAAACTCAGAGCAACACTTGGTACCCGGTCATGCGTGTTGTTTCTGCTACTTGTCTTTTCCCAAGGGGCTGCTGTCTTTCTGAGACTCTAGCAACATATCTAAGCTGACAGTAGGTAAATCCTGTCCTCTCTCTCACCTTTTCCCCTTTTTTAATAATGGAAGGGAAGGGACTTTTAGCCCTTAATTAGAGTCTTGAATAAGTTGACAAGACACGAGGTCTATCAAGCTGGTGGTGTGTACCTTTCAGCCCTGGGTAGACGTGCTCTGTGTGCATCAAAATCCATAGCAACGTCCTTCATTCATTTGGGAAGAGAATGTTGGTGTGAAGTGAGAAGTGCTATTTCGTTCAGTTCAATTTTTACTCCTCTAGGTGACTGCAGCCCACCCCCAGATATGCCTAATGCGACACCAGTTTTGAAAGGTGTTACAACTTTTCCTGTTGACAAGACGGTGTATTACTCATGCAATCAAGGGTACCTCAGAATTCCAGGAACAACACACACCATTCAATGTCTCCGTGACAATACATGGCTAAAAATAGATCCAAACTTCTGTGGTCGTAAGTCCTTTATTTCTCTTTAAAGGTATGGGAATAGGTGTAGCTTGTCAGGTTTATTTTTATACCTCTTCAGAGTGACTGGTAATTGATAGTTTCGAGCATTATTAAGCCCCAGGGTGCCCTTGTTGGCATTTCACACTCCATTTAATTAAAGGCATTACTTCCCTGGGTAGCTCCTGCTTCTTAAGAGCTTTTTCCCTAACAGTGTACCTCTTGAACAGGCTAATAGAGAAAGTAAACAATAGATATTGTTTAGGGAGTAAATTATATATGAATACATGTGACAGTTACTTTGAGACACATGATCTGTTTTCTGAAATTTCATTTTGCAATGTAGAACTTACCAAACACAATTCTTTAGTGGCAATTTAAAAAAGCTGTCTATATTTATTTTTAAAAAACTTATTAATGTTTTTATCTGTTTGCTTACAAAGTGCATATACATTGTTTCTCAGTATTCGTCATTCATATTATGTCTCGTACAATAATTACCATGCATTATGTTTTATGAAATTAATCACCATTTGACCTATGACCCTATCTTTATATACAGATCCTTCCTATTTCCTTTCCACCTTTTTTTCATCCACCAACTGTACAAATCTATGGTTTGGCCCATACCCATCCTAATCCTCGGTCCCACTCCTTTCCCACTTGGTTTCCCATTCATTTCTTACCAGTTACTTCTATTTTCACAATAATGGTCTTATGGAGTATTTCTCCTTATGAGACTGAGTTTGTTCCCTCAGCATAATGCTCTCCAGTCTCTCCTAAATTATGTGCTATTTTGTGAAATCATTGCTCCCAAGTGCTGCATAGTGTTCCATTGTGTGAATGGACCACACTTTCTCAATCCACTCAGTTGTGGATGTACATTTGAGCTGTTTCCACATTCTTGTGATGGTGAATAATGCTGCTACGAACAATGATGTACCAATCTCCGTTTGTGTCTCACTTCCAGTTTCTTTGGGGTATATTCCTAGTAGTGGAATAGCTGGGTCATATAGAGAAAAACCTATTATTTTCTGCACAGCTCTCTGGTGTTGTTGTTAGGTGCTGTCAAACCTGCTTCCACTCATAGCTACCCAGTATACAACTCAGTGACACACTCCTTGATCTTGTGCCTTCCTCACACTCACTTCTGTCTTTGAATTCACGGTTGCAGCTACTTGTATCAATTCATATTGTTGAGGGTCTTCTTCTCTTTTCCTGCCCCTTTGCTTGAATAAGCTTGACTTGTCTTTCTCCAGGGACTGGCTGACCCCACAGATAATGTGCCCAACATTCTCAATTCCATGTCGAATTCTGGCTGCACTCCACCTAAAGAGATTGTTTCGTTCTTTTGGCACTCCGTATGCCTCTGGAAACGAAGGCTTCAGGCCTTTTGTTCATAGGGTTGCTCAACTTGAGTCGTGCTCAACTTGACAGAAATCAACAACAAAGATATTAGCACTGATACATATAAATAAAGATGCAGACTTGATACCTGCCTCTGAATAGCATGAAATCAATTCAGGCACAGTATTTCTTTAAAAGATGTGAAATAATCTTTAATATTTTCTTGGCCTTAAAAAACACACACAACAAAACCGATGATAGAAGGCAGTAGGCTGAAGTATGTAAGTCTTTAAATGTGTATCAAGTTTTGTAGTTAAACTTATATTACTTCATTTAATCCTCCAAAGACCCAAGGAGTTAATCAAGAACTTCTATGTCACTATTTTAAGTAGAGGAGATAGACTTTAAGAAGTTTCTTTTTTAATAACTTCCTTAGTAGAAGCAGCTCCTTTATAGGGAGTTCAGGGTTCACAACTTGGGTGTTTTGATTACAAATCCAGGTCCCTTGTCATCATACCATCAAACCATGCCTTTCTAAATTCACCTTTGGTCAGTTTTTTTGAGCTTATGAACACTTTTAAGGACACTATTCAACCTAAAGGAACTTTCATAGTGTATGTAGTAGGTGAAGGGCTGGGATGCTAACTAAAAGTTAGCCGTTCAAACCCACCTACAGTGCTGCCAGAGAAAGGTGAAGCCATCTCCTCCTTCTGAGATTCACGGCCGTGGAGACGGGATGGATGGAGGATGGAGAGGTTGCCGTGAGTCGGGATAGATGCCACGGCAATGAATTTTATTGATCTTTACTTGATTTTTGTCCACGTTAAGTTGTGGTGGGGATTAAATGAGTTTAATGTATTTAATAAAAAATGATTTATTATTTCAGTTCTTTTTGTCATGCAGGATATTTGCGTTTGGGTCTAGAAATATTTCTTATCTCTCCAAGGTACTGTACTTTGCTTTTTGTTGTTAGGTGCCGTCAAGTTGAGTACAAACCATATTGACCCTATAAACAACAGATCTGACCCCTGTTCTATCCTGGGCCGTCCTCACAATCTCTGACACACTTGAGCCCATGGCTGCAGTCAGTGTATCCTTCCACCTGGTTGAAGGTCTTCCTCTCTTTCACCATCCCTCTACCTGTCCCAGCAGGATGTCCTGTCCTCTCTATTCAATAGCCTCTCCCAGCAATATGCCCAGAGTATATGAGAGGAAGCTTTATCCTCTTTGCCACCAAAGAGACACTCTGGCTGTACCTTCTCCAAAACCTGTCTGTTCTTTTGGTAGTCTGTGGGATACTCAGGATTTAGTGTAGTTTTCTTGCCCAGTCATTTCAAAAAAGAAACAACATTGCTATTGAGGAGATTCACACTCCTGGTGACATGCCCTCCCCAAGGAGTTTCTCAGGCTCAAATATGTGCAGAAGGAGACCTCCCCAATTCTTTTCCTGTGGAGTGGCTGCTAGACTCAAACCACCAGCATTTCAGTTAGCAGACCACTACACAGCACCCTTACCACCCAGAGCTCCTTATGTCAGGCAGTATACCCAGATAATTCCTTCATTTAGTGGACCTGTGTTATCTGATCCGGGAGCTTTGTTGGCCCAGTTGGTAAAGTGCTGCCCTGCTAACCCAAAGGCAGGCAGTTTGAATCCACCAGCGGCTCCTTGGGAAAAGGAAAGGCAGTCTCCTCCTGCGACACTTAAAGAATCTGAAGAGCTGCTGCAGGGCCAGCTATGAATTAGTTTTGACTCAAAGGCACATAAAACCAACAACTTATTATCTGAGAAATCGATATTGTGACATTTATATCCCCAATCGACTTCGTGGACGTTTAGTGAGTAACCAATGGAAGTATGGGTGTCTCATACACTGAAGATGCCATAGCAATAATATGCCCTCACAAATGTCAAATATGAACAAAATAGAGCAGAAGCTGATTTAAGGATCAGGTAAAACAATTAACTGTAGATTGTATAATATGGTAATATTTTTTGTTGTTCCTTTTCTTACCAATTTTTAGGGAGCTGTCCGTCTATACGCAAACTCGTGTATGCAACCCTCAAAAAGATTTACATCCCTCTGAGTTACTACCCAGTAGGTACAGTCGTGGGTTTTGACTGCGCCCCAGGTTACGAACGGATCCCTTCTAAGTCCGCGGAAGTAACTTGCCTTGCTAATTATACATGGTCCAACCCTGATGTATTTTGTAAAAGTGAGTATGGTTTTAAAGTGTATATGCAATGATTAATGATGCTGTTTGGGAGGAAATGGTGTCCCTCTCATTGTCCACACTGGGACTTAAAATGTGAGTGTATTATGTTGTATATAATTCTTTTCTAATTTTTAACTTTTTAAAATTGGTTTTCATATAATAATCCCTTTATATTTCATTTATATACTTGTGTTTATAGTCTTTCATTTCCATTGTGTTTCATACCATCATTCACATACATTCTATTTTACCTTTTTTTTTAAATTGGTTTGCTTACAAAGTTTATTTACATTGTGTTTCACATTGTAGAGTGATTCTTCAAGGAACCATTGTTGTTGTTTTCATGTACCTTTGAGTTAGGCACAACCATCGCTGACCCTTCAGTGGGTTTTTAGAGGGAACAAATCGCCCGGGGGAAGATTGCCCATCTTTTTCCTGCAGCACCAGGTGAATTCATACTGTGTGCCTTCAGGTTGGCAGCACAGTTCCTTAACACTAGGCCACCAGAGCTCTCTAAAAGAACCATGAGAGTTCTTCTTTTAAGTTAGATAGATTCAAATATTTGTGTGATAGGAATATCCATTCACCACCCCCAGATCTCACATTTAATCAGCTTACGGTTACTAGTGGCACAGTGGTTAAGTACTCAGCTGCTAACTTCAAAGGCAGTGGTTCAAAGCCACCAGCCACCCTGTTGGAGAAATATGTGGGAAACGGCTACCAAAAAGTTCATATAGAGTTCTATTCTGCCCTATAGGTCAATTTGAGGCGAAATTGACTCAACAAGAACATATTTATTTATTTTTTAACAACATATTTATTTAAAATGGAATACATATTCATATATATTCCAAAATTATTCCTTTTTTAAAATAACCCTGAATATATATATCTAATTTTCTGCATGCCTAGGAATAGTGTCTATGTGGACAGTAAATGCATTATATAGAAGTAAAGACATCTAAGTATTAGAAAATATCAATGGTGCCCATAATCACTCTGTGTATATGTGTCTAATAATTTGAAGAAAAATAAATATGTTAATTTTTTAAATTTATTTTAATGAACATTTATAGAACTTTTGATTTCCATTCATTCATTGTTGCATTTTTTCCCCTGCCGTCTCCTATCCCCCAGTTCGCTCTTCTCATTGAAAAGTAAAAGAAAATTTCTTTCATTGGTATACAATCCCCCCGCCCTGAGTCCACTCCTGTATGCAACCTTCATTCTGGACTCTTGTCATAACCGTAATACCCAATCATATATCACTTTTAAACTGTTCTTTCCCTCATCTGTTTCAACCCAGTACATGTAATTTATCCAGGTGTGGTTTTTTTTTCAGTCTTATCCCAACCCTAAGGTAAGTCCCCCCCATTCTACAACAGTGGCACTATGCAGTATTTGTCTTTTTGTGACTGAGATATTTCACTCAGCATAATGTCCTCCAGGGTCACCCATTTTGAATAATACTACATGAGTTCCTTGTTTTTCAATGCAGCGTAGTATTCCATTGCATGACTATACCACAGTTTCTCTATCCATTTGTTTGTTGATAGGCACTTAGGTCATTTCAAACTCCTTGCTATCATGAACAAAGCCACAATAAACATGGGTGTGCGTATATCTACTTGGGTGGTTGTTATGGTCTCTTTGGGGTACATTCCAAGTAGTGGAATTGCTGGGTCAAATGGTATCTCTATTTGCAACTTTTTGAGCAAGCCCCATACCGCCTTCCACAGTGGTTGCACCATTTTACACTCCCACCAACAGTGAATAAGGGTTCCAGTTTCTCCACAACCTCGCCAGTATTTGTTGCTTGATGTTCTGTTAAATTTTGGTATTCTTACTGGGGTAAGATGATATTTTATAGTTGTTTTGATTTGCATCTCTCTTTGAGCTAAAGATTTTGAACATTTCTTCATGTGCCTGTTGGCCATCTGAATATCTTCTTTGGTGAAGTGTCTGTTCATATCCTGTGCCTATTTTTCAATTGGATTATTCACCTTTATCTTGTTGTGATAAATTCTAGATATAAGTCCCTTAACTGACATCACCTTACCAAATACTTTTCCCCAGTCTGTGGCTTCCCTTTTTACCCTTTTGGAGAAGTTTTTGGGTGTACATAGGGATTTGATTCTTAGAAGGTACCATTCATCTCTTTTATCTTCTCCTGGTTTTAGATTTTTCAAGATACTTGGAAGATTGTTTATGTTGTGGGTTTGGACTTCTAGGGTTCTTCCAGGCTTTTATTGAATGAAGTTTATAGTCCTTGGTTTTAGTCCTAGGTCCAAGATCCACATTGAATTGGTTTTTATATATGGAGTGAGGTGTGGATCTTGCTTGAGTATGCTACAGATAGTTTTCCAATTTTGCCAACACCATTTGCTAAAACGGCCATCTTTCCCCCACTTAACTGCTTTCATCTCCTTGTCAAATATCAGTTGACCATAGGTAGATGGACTGATTTCTGGTTTCTCAATTCTATTCCATTGATCTACGTGTCTGTCATTGTACCAGTCCCACGCTGTCTTGACCACCATGGCACTGCAGTAGGATTTGAAACAGGGAGTGAGATGCCTCCTACCTTTTTTCTATTTTTAAGGAGTGCTTTGCTTCTTTCCATTCCAAATGAAAATGGAGATTCCCTTTTCTATCTCATTGAAGAATGGGATTGGTATATGTATTGGGATTGCATTGAACATGTAAATTGCCTCTGGTAGTATTGTCATTTTCACAATATTGAGTCTTCCTATCTATGAGCAAGGGATATTCTTCCACTTCTTCGGTATTTTTTTTGTTTCGTGTAGTAATGTTTTGTAATTTTCTTTGAATAGATCCTTTGTGTTTCTGCTTAGATTTACCCCCAAATATTTAATCTTGCCTTTCGCTATTGTGAAGGGTATTATTTTTTTTTAGCTCCAGCTCTGTATTCTCTTTGTCACTGTAGAGAAATCCAACTGATTTTTGCATGTTGATCTTGTATCCTGCTACTTTACTGAATTGGTGAACTATATCCAATAGTTTTCTTGCTGAGTCTTTAGGATTTTCTAAGTATACTATCATATCATCTGCATAGTTTTACCTCCTCTTTGTCAATTTAGATACCTCTTATTTCCTTCTCTTGTCTTACTACTATCACTAAGACTTCCAATATAATATTGAATAAGAGAGGTGAGAGTTGGCATCCTTGCCTAGTTCCTGTTCTTAAAGGGAATGCCTTTAACCTCTCTCCATTGAGAAAAATGTTGGCTGTTGGGTTTTCATAAATACTATTTACTATGTTGAAGAAACTCCCCTCTAATCCTATTTTGTTGAGTGTTTTAATCAGGAAAGGGTGTTGGATGAAAAATAAATATGTTTATATTCTTATCTAGAAAAACCATGTGCTCATCCTGGAGAATTAAAAAATGGCTATATCAATATAACAGATGGCCTATTACTTGCTTCACGCATTGTCTTCTCATGCAACCTGGGGTAAGTTGTAGCATGTAACTTTTCATTTAACAAAGAAAAAAAGAATTAGAATTTAACACATAGCCAGTGTTTACAATTTGGTAGAGATTAAAGTTACCCTTCTCCTCAAAGATCCTTCAACATGAACTGATCACAATTAAGTCTAGTCATGGGGGTGGGGTGGGAAAGATTTCTTTTACCACCAAATAAAAATTTAAGTGTGAGTAATTAGCAAAAGACAAAAATTTAAAAGAGAGTTGTTGATAATACTTGGAGAAATTAGAACCTTTAAGAGTTAAAAAAGGAATCGGTCTTTAAATTTGCCAAATAGTGAATTGTAAAATAGGGAGCTCTGGTGGTCTGTTGGTTAGGAAATTGTCCTGCCAACCTAAAGTCAGGCAGTTCAAATTATCAACTGCTTCAAGGGAGATAAATGCATAGTCTCCTCCTGTATAATTTACCTGCTCTGAAAGCTCACTGGAAGGTCAAGTATGAATCAGTTTTTACTGGAAGGCAATGAACTTGAATTCTAAAATGTCTTGAGTTTAAAAACATTTATTTATTCCTAGCGTGAACATATCATTTTTACCTGAGGTACCTTTTGACTTTCCGAGTCATAAAAAAACTCAGTTGTTAAATATCATCAGAGTCTCAGACAGACACTGCTGAAAATTTTGCTCATTTTTCTCATTTGTCTTCTGAGCTATGCTATTTTAATTTGTGTGTAGTTTTTTTTCAAGATGAAGGTATCTGTATCTAGTATCTTCTGTACTGTACACACAGATGTCTCAGCCATTAATACATAATCAGGAGGATGACCCTTGGATATAATTATTCATCGAGGCTGTCTTAATTTTTCAGAACTCAGAAAACTACAAGCATTTGCATTATATCAGTGGGCTTTAAAAAGACTTCTATTTTATAACATGTGCTCATTGCAAATAAAAATGTCTTCTATGTTGTATCCATTTTTTTGGGTTTTTTATCCTAAGGATACTACCTTTTAAAATGTAATCTTTATTTTCCTTTAAATGCCTGCATGAGCATTTATTAATTCTTGAGTGTCTCCTTTACAGGTGTAGTAGGGAACACGGGTGGTGTAGTCCATAAGGAGTTAGTGACCCAGAGCCCACTCCCCTCTGGTGGTTCAAACCCACCACAGTTCTTCAGGAGAAAGATGGGCAATCTCCTCCCACGTGATCAGTCTTGGAAAGCCAAATGAGGGTCAGCTGTGAGTAGATTCTGACTCACCAAGCATGAGTATTTTTAGTGAGTTTTACTGGTATATTCAATATTTTGTGTAGGTATTCTGGAGATTGTGAGGAAATATAAGTATGTGGGAATGGAACATTTCTTCGCTTTTTCTCCCTCTATTGCTTTAGGTACAAATTAATTGGTGCAACTTTTGCTCAGTGTGTAGAAATTGAAAAAAACATGACATGGCATAGACCACTACCGACATGTAAAGGTAAGACTAAAAAAAACCAAAAAACTCTCAGGTTTTGAAGCTAAATAATGAATGATAAATTACTTGGTGTTCCTTTGGAATTATCCCCAGTATATCGTATTTGTAGTTCCCTAACCTTTAAGCAGGGAGCATTGGTGGCTTCATGGTAAGGAGTTGTGCTGCCAACCCAAAGGCATTCGGTTTGAATCCACCAGCTCCTCCACAGGAGGAAGACGGACAGTCTCCTCTGGTGTGGTCTATAGCCTTTGTAAACCTACTAGAAGGTCAGCTATTGAGTCTGCTCTGATTTGACGATATAGAACAGCAAAAACACCACTTTTCAACAGAACTGTTTTGGTGATTTAAAGGCCGTATTTACTGTATGTCCCATACCCGCGATAATAAATCACCAAGCATTTATGAGCTTCAGTATCCTTAATTCCTAAACAACAGGACTCTGGGAACTCAATGAACTTAGAGAATCAATGACAGTTATAGAAAGGCTTCAGGTCTTTTGTTCATAGAGTTGCTATGAGTCGTGTTCAACTAAATGGCAATCAACAACACCAACAACAACACCCTTAATCATAAAATAAGAATTAAAAACAACTCACATTTTGTATTGTACTGTACCAAGGAAGAAGAGATAGAAGATTTTTACCAACTTTTACAATAGGAGATTGATCGAACATGCAGCCAAGATGCATTGATAATAATGGGTGACTGGAATGCAAAAGTCGGGAACAAAGAGGAAGATTCAGTAGTTGGAAAACATGGACTTGGTGACAGA